ATAGAAAACACCACTCGGCATCAAGAAGAAATATTAAAAAAAAAAAAATAGAAACTTTCCCCTTATTTGTTATCCCTTAAACTTCCTGTAAAAAACACCAGGAGTCATTTTTTTATGACTCATTTCCTGCAGCTTTAAGAGCTTTTACCACTCAGAGCAGAAAGCTTTAACTCATAACTTTTACATTTTAAACATGTCACTGAGTTTTATTGATATTTAAAAGGTCGTTCTGAATGATTATCACTCACCACTTTCCATGGCAGAGCTGTAAATCCAATTATCCTTTTTTTTCTCTTAATTTAGAACTTTGCATCTCTAACAAACAGTTCAACAGAACAGGAACACATGATATAAGAACAAAAAAAGTGGGGGGAGGGGGGGATAAAAGAGACAAGACCATTCAAAATTAAAATTAAAAATAGATAAAATGTAAATTCGAGTTCCAAATTCCAAAATAGCTTTTTTGCAAAGTGGTCAAAAATTGATTTTCTATGCACTGTTTCACTTTTATGGGTATGAAACATTGAAAGAAACAAAACAGATTGATGATAAATACGGCAGAAGAGGCTATCATTTTAGTATTTGTGTGTGATGTTTCTGGATAAAGTTCTGAAGAAAGTATTTGGTATTTACCTAATTTAGATTTTGAACAAAGGTGTGCACCGACAACCCAATTTAAGATTGTAACAACATCATTTACATCAGCCGAAACAAAATCATCCAACAGATCGCACAAACTGTTTCAGTATGGAACTTTATTCAACACGGTTTGATCAAAACTGATACAACTTTGTCATTTTTTAAATCATAATGACTTCAGTTCTAAACTCTTTCATGAAAGGCGCTCTTGCATTCTTGTCTCTTATTTTTGTGTTTTAGCTGTTCTTCTTAAAAGTTCTTTGGAAAATATTACTTTTTCTTAACAATGGAAAATGTTAAAGATTAATGAACTGTACAGGTCTTTGTCTCTGAAACAAGAGCAGTTTTGATCTGATCGCTGATGTCAGAAACTTTATTTTGTTTTACTTAACAATAAATGATCAAATGTGTGAATAGTTTCAAATAACACAACCCAGCTGTCTGCATTGTTTCAGGTGTCCACTTTTAGGTGTTTTTTTGGGGGGGTCACTTATCCCGTCTGCAGAGACTCAGGATTAAAACTAATGATGACTCATACAGGATGAATCCRGACCTGATTAAATTTCCACACCGAGCTGCTTCAGCTTGTAAAATCTCATGATCATTTTCCTTTTCTGCATGTTTTTTTTTCCTGGTGGACGTGCATGTTGACACTTATCTGTATGRTTGTTGGCACTTTCTTGGTTTGAAATCAAACCAGACACCAAAAATGGGTTTGTTGTTGTCGTACGCATATCAGACTCTGTGGGGACAGAAGGGATAGAAATCATTTTTCAGCCCGGTTGTTTATTTCATTATCGCGGCCTAATGGCTCCGCAAATGGTCTTTGGTCGTAATGTTGGAGGAAGGGGTTGTAGTGTTGAGTGAGATTATAGCCGTGCTYCTCAACAAGACGTTGCCTAATGTGAGGCTAAGGTTTCAGATGAGGTGGTGAGCTTTTGTTGTTTTTTTTTTTCTCTATGTTGTGGAAGTGATGCAACTGTCAGTTTGAGTGTTTTAACTGCTGTCATTGCCTAACAGATAAGCCTGTATCGTTTTAACAGAGGAAATAAATCAGTAACTTTGTCGAAGACTCAGGATTTGAACTGTTTTCTTGAGAAAAGATGTTTTTTGTGAGAACTTTTGTGTCGCTTCTTGGTCTTATCTTGACAATAAGGTTGTGCTAAGATGCTCCAGAGACTGATGGGTGTGGCTGTTTTGATCGAACCTTGAAAAGTTTGTAATTTCATCYAACATTGTGCATTTTCATCTAATCTGGTAAAGCCTAAAGTCGATGTTCCAAATGAATCTCAGCTATCAAAACTAATTTAGCACGACACCTGTAAATGTTTTAGCAAGTTTTATGTCGGCTAAGATCAATTAACTGTGACGTCCATCTTGACCCCAAAGAATAATTATTAAATACCTCCAATGATTATTTTCTGAGCTTTTAAATCCTTCTTTTTCACATTGAAATCATTCAGTTTATATAAAGTGGAACTGCAATGCTTTGGTTTGAATCCCTCCTTTATTGTAACTCCACAAGCCCCGCCGCTTTTCTGAGGTGTGTCTCAGATCAACTGGTTTTGAGTCTGTCTCTTTAAATCCAAAAGAGTTGCTTTCTAACCCCGCCCCCCTCCAGCTTCCAGACCAGTCCATTCTAGTTTGATAGGGAGGTTTAGGATTCTATAGTGGAACAGAAATGTTTCGTTTACAAATTAAGATATCAACAAGGCAAGGCTCCAAGTACACAACAAAATGCATTCAACGACTAAAAAAGTGGATTTTGTGCAACATGCCCCCTTTAAATCAACCCAGAGGTTCATGAAACACTTTTCTAAGGTTAATGAAAAACAGACAGGCAAAAATAGATGTTTTGCTTTTAATAATCATCTCAGAAATGTTTCTCAAAGAGAAGAAAAAATGATATTAGTTGCTCGTTTTTAGYGCGCATTGCATTCATTTCTTCTGCAAGAAGTCATTCCTCCTTTTCTGCTGACACAAGCAAAACAAACAGAGTAATGAGCAAATGACCGAGGATTCAGATTAAAGTCAAATAGAGGAAAGAAAAAATATAGTAAAAGTAAAAAAAAAAAAGTTTAATTAGCGAGATGAGTGATGACAGCTACTGAAGGAAAATAAACCTGTCCCATCTTGAAAACCTCTTCTGTTTTCCGTCTTCCCCCCCCCAACTTTTAATAAGCTCTGTGTGTATCTGTGGATAATCTGGAACATTATAAATGAGTGGTATTACCACAGCTCATATCTTCCAGTCCTTTCAGAATAACAATTAAGGCCAAGCATTATATGGCACCCCTTCTGTTAACATCCCTCTGGGTAATATTTATACAAGGACTCTCATTAAGTGCTTCAGTGTGGCAGAACAGTTATGCAGCCGTGGGAGGTGAGACGACTTGTTATCCCACAGGTCTGCTATCCGAGGCGAGTGACGGGACGCAGACAAACCGGCAACCTCACCATATTTGTCAAAACATGCAGAGGGAGAAAGGGAACAAGCAGCGCCGCCGCTGCAGCCATCCCTCGCACTTGTTCCTGTGAACACTGGCTGAAATGATGCTGCTTCTGTTGCAAATAATCATTGTCCAAGCAAGGCAYGAAATGATGAAATATTCCACTTTTTAATAAATAAATATCAGATGGATGTGATGCAAAAGATTTTTTGTTGTTTGTTTAAAATATTGTTTCAAATATGCCTCAGAATATACTATGTATTATGCAAAAAATGGAATATAACAACACTAAATAAAATCAACGTCAGATTCCTATGTGTGAAAAACTGAAAAGAAACAAAATATAAGTGGAAATAATTGCTTTCATTTGAAATGTGATATTTTTCCATAAAATGACAAGCAGATATAAGTAAAAACAGTCTGTTTTTTGGGATCAGAAAATCCCACAGTCGTCTGCGTTGCTGCAACATTTTTTTTCCCCGAGACACATTTATCTCTTTCATAAATTGAATGATTTCAGACTCATCTCTGCAGTAGTTCTGCTTCTTGTCACAGCAGTCAGATAAGATTTCTATCAGATTTCTGCGACTCCATAACATGGTTAATAAGAGCATCTCTGAATGCTGTTTTCAGCAGTATGGTTAAAAAAAAGCCTCGGGCRTTCAGTGCAAACTGTCAGGCACTTATTAATTAGGTTTAATTGGTGAAGCCAAGACTTTACCTCCTTTCTCACCATCTGCCTGCCTGCAGCTAAAATGTGACAACATACATAGAATTTGTTTGTTTTGTGGCTCTGGTCACACAGCACACATGTTTTTTTGTTATGAGCTTTCAAACTCATGGGTCCTATCGCTGTTATTCATTATGTTTTTGTCCCCCACCATTGCCCAGGCCCCCTGGTCCTTGGCTCTGACCCATGTTCTCCATGCCAGAACATGCAGTCTCCACRGCATCCCTGCACGTTACACAGTAAGCACCTGGGAGTAAATAAATGAACTTGTTTAAATCTGATAGGCATCGTTTTATATTTTCAATTTGTCACATCCCTGTTTCGCAGCAGAACAGCTCGTTCTCAGTTATGAGTAATTTTGGGGGTATTTTTTTAAAGGTTAAAGGACTTGATTATTTACCTTTTAGTGAGTGACACACAAAGGATATAATAAACCCAGTTATAGCACTTAAGGTGTTAAAACCACTGAGATGTTCACTAAAAAAATTGTTTAGGAGTATTGAACACAGAAGCAAGTAAAAATAATAATAACTCTAGTATAAATTAAAGAAACAAATATCTTTTGGTGAATATTAAGATTAAAATAGCCATGGTAAGACTGATTGTTGGTTAACTTTAAACATTCAATTCATTCATATCTGCGATTGGAGCAAAGGACTACAACCACAGGATGTGAGTCACTCCAGGCATGAAAAGGGAGAGTGGAGGTTGACCAAACAACACAGAGCCACGTTTCACTGGACTCAGCCAAGAGAGAAATCCGTCCAGCTCGATTCAGCTCAAATTTCTGTTAGAAACGTGAATGAATGAACGGAACTGTGGCTGTAATCAGATCTAAGTGCGGGTCGTTTCATTAGATACAAGATGCAGCTGAGATGATTTCCTCTTGTAACGTCTGACCGCTCGGGAGATGAGATGGCCCAAATGCAAACCGGCTTGACTTCATTCTCCTCACGGTCTGTTAGCTCAAACATGCAAAGATGGGAGAAAAAAAAAATCTGGTGTTTTCCTGTCTTTTTTTCCCCTTCTTTTAACACCACATTTTCCATGCATTTTTTGGCAGTCTAGCTGCTTTGGCATACTTTGTGTTATTTTTAGTCGATCATGTATCAAAATGTTCAGAAAAAACTTTCATTTCCTTCAAAA